TGGTTCCCTTTCATCCAGATGGGGCATATGCAGTTCAATTTCTTTTCAGGGGTAGGGAGAGTAGAGATATTTTTGTTTATCTTGGTTTGCCCTTTGCAGTTTGTGGTTAATGTTTTTCTTCATTTTGTTAGGTCATTATGTGTCGCTTCCTCTAAATGCTAGAAAAAGCCAAATGAAATAGTTGAGTGTGGTACTTTAAAGATGCTGTGAATTGGTTTTGCTCAATCCATGTTTCTGAGGTGGTTCATTGCATTGCCTTAACCGTGTTCCTGAAAAAGTGTTTGCCTCCTGCAAAGCAGACAATTAAAAGAAAAATATTTCAGTACTGCTTGGAATTCCGCAAGAAGTGACTGCCTCCACATGACTCAGACCTACATACTACAGCCTCATTTTAACAAAGGATCTAATAATTACTTTGGTAAAGATATATTCATCCATTTCAGAAAATCAGGTAAGAGTTCTGAAAGTTGGGATTTTCCCCACCTTCAGCAGCATGATGCACCATCAATGCATAGTGTGGTCATGATTTCTTCTTCCTCTGAAGCATTGTGTAAGAACTATAGTAGAAGAGCATGCACTACTTACTGCCACACTCATGCACACAGCTCTCTGCAAGTGACTCTCCTGAGGGCCAAAGCAAACTGCAAGAGAGGCAAAGCAGCACAGCACTGGCATCTATCTCTAACCCACCTTCCCTCTTCTGTTGTCTATCTCATGTAGTCTTGGTGAGAGCAGTGATCTTAGCAGGTATGTCTGCATTATCTGACACATTTCCTCTGCTTCAGCACCTGAGGTTGTTGAGTCACTGAAAGGGTTTCCTGTGGAGCATCAGCTTAAAACATGGGGAAATCCTTCCCTTTATCATACACCAGTGCATTTGCTGCATGACAAGAATGATTCAACAGCTGTATTGTTTCCCTGTCAAGTGTGGAGTTCCCCCAGTATTTTCCTTTTCATTACATTATACTGTTGGAATAAATCCAGTTTCCTGTGCTTTAGACTTTTGCTAAGTGGTGGATAGGAGTCGTTGGTTGATAAGTTTTCCTACACTCTCAGTTATTTACATGGCTGTCCCTGCTTGGTGTCTGTTTTGATTTTCAGAGTGGGCAATCACTCCTCTTGCTGTTGCCTGCAGAGTACTGAAGACAAAAATTCTTCCCTTCGCTCCACACCTATCCTCAGAAATGACTTATATGGGTTTGGCAGCATGGTTCTCCAACAGGAGCTGGGAAAGCTTCATGTAATAACAATACAAAGTACATTCACTAAGTTATTTCCCAAAATTAATAAATCATTCTCCTGCTGTCTGTGCTTGCTTGCTTGCTAAGGGAAAAAAATGCCCTGAGATCAACCTGCTACTGGTTAACACTATATGAAGAAAAATTGGCCTCAGCAGGTTGCCAGGATTTGTTGGAATTAGGCACTTTTATAAAAAGCTACATACATTTATTTTTTTTTCATATGTTGTACAGAATGCTGATAGTTTAGAGAAGGGAGTTTTTTATATTTCCTCATTTCAGCTGACTTTTTTTTTGAGATCAGGTTTTCTCCCAATTAACTGCCATTCCTTAGTAAAATGTTTCTTATATTTATTATCTGTTAAATACTGAATGTTAAATGTGAAATGCTGCACCTGGGAAAATATGTAAGTACTGTGTGATACGAAGTTGTGTTTACTGGAAGTGTGCAAAATGTATTTGATCCTCTAAAATGTGGTGTTTAGCACTGAACACCGATTTCAGGTGTAGTCAATGACTAAAGTAGAAGTTTGGTGGGAACTCAGGACAAAGCTTCCAAGATTAGAAATGAATCAACTCAGGTGTTTAAGGCAGTTGAGTTAAACACACAAATGGTGTGTTTATGTGGAATGAGAGATTATAATTGTGGCAATTACCTAGGACAGTGATGCAAGATGACAATAACAGTCAGCATTCATATCTTATAACAAATAATTTCAGGAAAAGAAACAGACTTTTTAACATCATGGACTTTGTATTATAAAGTTCATACTCTATATAGTCAGTAAAGCATAAGTCAAATGGACTAAGGACTAGATAAAGCATTTCCAAGAATTTGTTAAAGAAACTACAACATATGAATGGGTTATTCATAGTAAATTCCATAGGCATTTGTATGATGACCAACAATAGTATTTTTCTTCGATATGGGATTAAAGATAAAATTCTTTCTAGCATAATTTCTTAATTAAATGAGAGCAGAACAGTTATACATATTCAAGACACATATTAAGTACTTGAACTATAGCTACATTTTGTGGCAAGAAAGCTGAGGAGCTGAAGCATGCTTTAATTTCCAAAGCTTCCACCATTCATTTGGGGATACAGCTAAACCATGCAGCAGCTCCTTTCTAGCACGCACAGATGAGTTTGAATCACAAATGGCCAGGGATCTTTTTGATACGGAGTTAGCTATTACCCGGGAATCCCTGGTAGTTACCAGAGTATTTGAGACACACCTGAGATAAGCTGAGTCCATTTAAATATGTATATTAAAAAAGAAAGCTTTGCACCAAAGAAAAAAGGAGAAATACACCTTTGTTAGCTGAGATCCCATGAAGGGGTCAAGGGCCCCAGTAGGTGAGCTCTCTTGCAATGAGCAAAAAGGAGTATGAGAAAACTTGGGCCTTGAATGATAGGTAGGCCTCTCCATAGGAGAAGGGAGCACTAACAGGAGTATTAAATACAGCTCTTGTATGCATTTCTGTTAAATTATATTAAACAACTTCAAAACATGTACAAAGAACTATAAAAATAATTTGAGATACTGAAACAATGAGATTTGTGAAAAGGAACAAAGAAAATGTAAGTCCAAGGTATTTGATATGAGTGACTCAGGCTGTATGTGTTGATACATAGAAACCACCCTAATACCCAGGGAATTAACAATGAACATCTTCAGTGGTGAAAAAGAAAAACCAAGGTGTGATATTTTTGTTACATGAGAAGGTTTGGATTGTTTGCTAGAGTTGTTTTCAACTGGTAATAAAGTGCAAGGTTAAACTGTGATTTTATAACTGTGGTAATAAATGTTAAAGTGAATTTGGTTTAAGTAATTTGTGTGACTGATACAAAACATATTTTGGTTCATTAATTGTTGGGAATCTTAAATAATTAGAAACTAAATATGAAAACTAGATAATATTAGTGGTAAAAGGTACATTAAGGGCATATAGTCTTAATCCCCTGAAAATGTCAGGCATTTTACCACTTTTGGGGGTATACATTAAGCTAAAGCTCTTGGTCAGATCTGACAGTCAATAACTTTGGAACACTTGAACTATTTAACTCATCAAGAAGACAGTACATAAGTATTTTTATGGAGAGAAACTACTTCATATAAAGTAAATTCATTTCACTGGATGGCTGAAAAAGTTGAAATCAGAAATCATGAAAAACAAGAGAAGAGCAGTTAATCACTGAAAATAACAATAACAGTAAAATCTCTGATTTTTTCAAATCTGGATCCCTTTCTAGAAGATACACATGCATCAAGTGCATGCTATTTTAGTCTGTGTAGGGATGAACAGTTGTAATGTTACAGTAATGCTACATACTTGATGAGACTCAATATTCAGGACATACTGTTACTATAGCATAGGATACTGAGGTTTTCATTTCTACTTTATTGTTTTAATGAAAGCAGACTGGTTGATACTATTGCAAAGGAAAAAGATCATGGCAAAAAACCTTCAGAGTCTAACAATGTTGACAGAGCGCCTTCATGAGCCAGGATATTGCTAAAAATAACTTTATATTAAAGCGAAATAACATATTAAGGGAAATGTAAACATACATGAATATATGAATGTAATATGCATTTTAAGCTTTGCTTTCCTAAGCTAACAATATATAGGCAGTTTAACATTTTTTCAGAGTAAATAGTCAAATTGCTTAAGTTTTCATTTTATATAAATGAGTAAAGATAAATCTAAATTATTCGAGATAACACCTTAAATAAAAAGCTACTTTCATAAAAGAGATAAATTTTACAAGTTATGTCCAAATAGAACTACTACCTTAAGTGTAAGAGCAGAGAAAGTATGTAAATTCTGCAAATGCCAAGCACATAATAAAAAGAAGGCAAAGGAAAATGGCTACTGTTCACTACTATTTTAACAAGAATTTTTAATAGGTTGTCATTTATGTTGAGTCATCTTACCAAATATTAAACACTTAGATGTTAGATGGCTGATACTAGTTATTTAAGATCCTGTAGATAATAAGTTCCTCTATAATCAATCATCTGTAACACATTCCTATCTGTTGAGGGTGAGTTGTTCCATTTTAAAAGCTATCCAGATGTAGTACCCTATTAACCTACTCCTTCCTCTTTGCTAACATATTAGACCACTTAAAGTCAGATGATTTGAAGCCCAGTTCTGAGCGTACTTGTTCCTAAGCCTTTTATAGCTGAACAGCCTATGTCCTCCTTGTCCCCATGCTAGGACATCCTGGCAGACACAGGGCAAACAGCCTGTTACATCAGCTATATGAATTTCCCACACAGCAAATACAGGCCATCAGAGCTTCCAGAGCTCCTTAGTAAGTTGCAATGAAAAGGAGTGTGGATAAAAGATCTAGAACTTCGGTCTCTCAAGAACGCAAATATACAAAGATATTCATTTCTCTGTAGGGAAAACAATGTAGATCCCAATCTTCAAAGACCGAATTAAATAAAAAGGAACTTCTCAAGTCTTGTTTGGTTGACTTTTAGAAAAAATAACTTTTTAGATAAAATTGACACATATTTTGAAAACACCCAGAAGTGTCAATAACTTTTTTCCTGGATGGCCTTTGGTGACAATAAAACAAAACCAAAACCAAAACCCAAAACCAAACCAAACAAACAAACAAAACCAAACAAAAAAACCCAAAAAAACCCCAAACCAACAAACAAAAAACAAACAAAAAAACCCAAAAACACAAACAAACAAAAACCACCAAAAAAAACCCCAAACCAACCAAACAAAAAAACCCAAAAACAAAACCAAAAACCAACAACACAAAACTCACAAAACCAAAAAAGCCCAACCAAACAAAAAACCATTTTAGTTTAGTCTAGAAAATGAAAGTGCAAAAAACTTTAAAAAGAAAGAAATCAATGAGGTCTGGCCCAGTTACCATGCTATTTAAGAGTTGTAGTATTTCCAGAAAAAAAGCCTCCCCTGCCTGGGAAAGATTACCTACATTCTAGCTTTGTTATGTTTGTTACATGATATTTTGTAACTCCACTACTCCAAGACACTTTCTTAGTTCTGTTGCCTTTTTCTCCAACTGCTGAATGTTCCAGTGCCATTGTCTTTTATTTGAATGGACTTTGTTCAGTTGGCAATGCAAACGTTTTAAAATAGCATCATATCTTTTATTCTGTACCTAAAAAAAAAAAATAAAATTCACTTCACAATTTCATTCAAATAAAACTATTTACAGGGGTGGGTTCAGCTCCCTTAACTCTGTCCAAGGGTACATTCTGATATTTGACCATGTCATTACACATTTACTTTCTGTTGCTGAAGAGACAGAGACATCTAGGAAGCCATTCATCTAAGTCTGCTTTAGGACAATATGAATCATGCCTCACTTTCCCAATAAGGAAAGAAAAACTCTCTCACTAAGACTTTAAATGAAGAGTTCAATATGGGTATCTGTTCTGTAGATGTCTAAAATTTAACATCGTAAATCCCACCCAAAGAGTCAGCATCTCACATAGTAGCAACACTTCATACATGGAAGATTTCAGGCTCCAGAATGAGAGGCGAGAAAGGAAAACAAAAAATCATTCTTTGACAAGTGTGTTTGGTTATAAATGAGAATACAAATGAGGTAATGTAGATGGCTGTGGTAGGAGCTTTGTAGTTGCATTGCATTTAAACAGTACATTTCTCATAGGCAGGCAATACTGTGGCAGTGCAGTAGTGTATCCATTTTGCCCTCATTGCTGCCTTACATGGAGAACAATGGCTGCTGCAGACAACCCTCTGAAGATTTGCATTCTGAAGTGTAAAAGCATTGACTATAATAAAAATGGAAATAACGGGTATTCCCGTAATGAAAATTTGGGCTTGCTTACCGTAATTTGAATGGTATATGAGTGGTCATGTATAATTACTCTTGTGTCTGCTTATTGAAATGTTACTACACTGTACCTAACATACACATGATGGTGTACAGCTGCATCAGAATTACAGCACTGCCAGTGACTTCCTGCGAGTCTTGCTGCCTAAATTTTACATATAGCTAAGGAACTCCCTCACTGATGTTTTATAAATTACACTGCCACCTTTTACTGCTGATGGGCTGTTTTCCTTCTCGTTGCCTTACTCTTCACTATAATCGTTCACAACTTTTCGAGGGATGCTGTCAGATTCACTCCTCTGAATGAGTGCTTGGGGGATCTGAACGTCACTAGGACTACGTTGTATGACACTGAAACATCTGTGATCAATATCATCTGCTTTTTTTAGAAATGTGTCCCCAGCATCATTATTGGGAACTGTCTGGCACATCTGCTGAGGGAGGGAGCACTAACATGATTATGGGACAGAGGGGAGGGAAAAAACTGCTCTTTTTACTGTCCTTGTGAATGTATTTGTCAACCCTTTGAAAAAATTGTCTGGGCACTCATGATATTCCACCACTGGGGTCATTTAAGGACAGGATAGGCAAGTATCTCCAAGAATAATGTAGTTGCACACTGACATAGGGGAAAGAGGGCAGTACAGGCAGAGACGGTCTTTTGAGCTTTCTTTTTCTTATTATTTTTACGTAGCAACAAATTTTCTATTATTTGTGGACATCTTGAATTAGTCCTTATGACTGAAGTCTTGTCCCTACACAGGTAACCACCCTGATTTATTGCTGACATCCCTGTCCAAGACTGGGAACAGGCTCTGCTCTTCAAGAGATGGGTGGTGGGGATGGTGCTCAGGAAAGGGAGTGAGAAAAGGTACACAAGCTGCCTTAAGAGTCTATCAGTACCCTGACTGATGAGAAGCATCTCAGGTATGAATTAGTTGTAGACTTCATTAATTAGCAATGTCAGATCACTGACTTTACTTGGAAAAAAAAAAAAGGACACTTAGGCACCAATTTTCTTGCAGAAAGATATTTTATCAAAAATTTTTAAATTTCCAAAATTCAGCTGCTTTAGAAAGGCATTCTGAATTACATTCCTGCACCATGTGCTTAGCTGGGGAAATCTTTGTGGGAAACCAGAAATAATACTGAAGCAAAGTGGGAGCACCATGGCTATGAGTCAATCCATCCTGTTTGAGCACCAGCTTAGCCATTCAACAGGAATTCTATAGGTATTTAAGTATAAGGCTGTAATAGGGGTAGATTTGGATGAGTGCTTAAAATGATTGCTGAATAAAGGTTCCAGAAATCCTAAAGCAAGAGCAAACTCATTGATCAGATGCAATGACCTGCTTCTATCTGAAGGGTCAGAAACCTGGAAGCTCGTATATTCTTTGTAAATTTATTAATCATGGAATCACAGAATAGTTTGGGGTGGAAGGGACCTTCACAGATCATTTCGCTGAACCCCTGGCTATGGCCAGGGACATCTTTCACTAGATCAGTTTGCTCTACCCAGTGTATAGTATAAAGTCTAGAAAGACCATACTGTGCAATTCATCCTACTGTAAACACGTAGGCTTATGGACTGAATTGATCTCTAGAACACATCAACTGCACTAACCACAGCTCCAGTGACTATAATGGCAACTTTCCTAACTCATGTGTCGTCACTTGCATTCAAACAACCCCATTTAGCTGTCAGCAGTCTAGAGCTGAATTCCACCACTGCAGCTCAATGGAACCTCATCCATGTGACTAGTATCTCACTTTATTCCCGTGCTTGACTTGAATGTTCTTTCCCAAGTTGTGCTGAGGACTGCTGGGTATAAATGTCTCTGCTTATCCATTGTCAGTTTTTATATTAAAAATTGGATTGTTTTAAAGAGAGTTCTTAGTAGAAAATAATACCCTGAAAGATTTAGTTTTTGAACCTGCTTCCTTCTGAGACAAAAAGATTGTATAATCCAAACAACCAAAGAACAGGTTAACCTTCACTGCTTATTTAAATTGATTTCAGTAACAGAACAGAACATTATTTTTAGGCTGCCTGATTTCACTTTGAGTTTAGAGAACTTTCTTAGGAGGATGTTAACTTGGTAATAAAATATTTTCTCAGAAGCTGAGTAGCACAGACCTGTTCTAAAGCAGCTGTGTTTTGCTTTTCAGGTCAAAAATTCTCTGCCATTCCCTATCACATGAAAAATGATTCTTTCTTCCTCCTACATTTTACAATGGGCAATAGACCTAACCTTGGATCAGTTCATCTTTATAGTACCAAGCTTTGCTAATTAAATTTTGTGGCATTTATTTGAACTAACAAGAATAATTATGTGAAACTCCAAACTAAAAACTATCTAGACATACAGAGGATTTTAGTAAGAAACAAAATATAAAATATAGCTCAATTATTTAAAAGAGAAGGTTTTAACCATTTATCAGAATTTTATCTTGGCAGTTAATTAGGAGCTTCTGTGTTATTCCTAATTTAATGTCAGCTCAAATTAGAGAGATTCACGGGAAGTCCATTTTCTTCATCCAATTGATTGTCCCATTGATGAGTCATCGGGAACCACGAGTGAAATTTAAAGTATTTCAGAAGTATTACAGAAATTTTAAAAGACACATTTTGCTTTATTACCATTCAGTGACCTCTCTTTTCAGGACATCATTCTAAAATTTCACAGCTGAATTCCTTCTTAAAAGACTTCAGAAAAAATGTTCTTAACTTCAATTTTTCTCAAGACAGGAATAAAGCTCTGAATTTTAGAAAGGGTGCCAGTACCCAGAGTTTAAGATAGCATAATTACTGTATATACTTGAAAAATGTATGGCCAGCAATGATGTATAAAGTACTTCAAACTTCATTTGCACTATCTACGTTCTGTCAGGAGAACTGTAATTAAAATTTATTTAAATGACTCACCTCAATTTCTTTTCTAAGCTTAGCATGCTTTTTTTTCTCTTCTTCCAGCAAAGCTGTTTTTTGATCGATGAAATCTTTCAATGTTGTGATTTCACTTTTTAGAAGTGTAACTTCTTCCTGCAGATGTATGTTAAGATACAGAAATCCATTCCTTGAAATGTGGCACAGTACATCTGTTAAGCTTATTAAAAATGTCACATTTTAACAGTCTCATTCCACTAATAGAGATTAGAAAAAGAACTATAATAAACAATTTCACAATAAGCCTATTAATAATAATTAAATTAATAATAATTTAAGAAGACTAATTAAAATTAATAATTAAATATTTTATAACATGGGTTTAGACATGTAAGAATATATATTCTTGATCTGAAATACGAAAACTACAATATAGGACTTTGAACTCATTCTGGCAGTCTTTATTTTGTTTAAAGTGTAATTTATTGTAAAAGCAATGAATATTTAATGCAATATTTGAGATATATTTTTCCTTCTCATAGGGAAATACAGTGTTAATAAGTCTTTATTTATCAGTATTTAAAGGTCTATTGTACAAACAAATTTTCATCCATTTACATAAACAGAGTAACACCAGATTTTCAATAATGCAAGTTACATCAGACTTGAAATCTGTGATCCCATTCCAACTTCATACAACATCTGTGATCCCATTCCAACTTCATACTCCAACTTCACATACTGGCAAAATTTTGTGGTGGAAAATTCATATGTGGTAGTGCTTAATAAGTATTGCAATTAGAATCAAGTAAAAACAACAGCGTTAGACTAAAACAATGAAACAAATATTTTTTTTCCCTCTTCTTCTTTCTATCACCATCTCATGAAATCTGCTCCTTTTAGCAAACAGCTCAACTGTAGTTTGTTGACAGGAAAGTTTAAAGAATAGTGTGTTCTTACATGAAAAATGTAACAATATGGCAAGCTTTCACAGAATTCTGAAAAGTGTCCGCGGAAGGTTATCCAATGATAAAAAGCTCTGTAATTTTTTTCATATCTGAGTTCATTCGATCACACGTAATGAACCTGTCTTTTACAAAAATATAGAGATAACAATGGCTGATTTTTTTCATTGCATACCAAAGTAAAATTTCTTTAATTAATGTAGCATTATAAATTATCTATATTCTCATGTAGTCAATCTCCCATGAACCATAAACATCTTAGACAAAATAACCATATTATAAAAACTATGTCAAAATTATTTCACATAAAAGGAAAAAAAAATAAAAAAGGAAATATAATACCTGTACTTGTTTTATTACAGATCCTTCTGGATTCTGGAGATCATGCATTAACTCCTCTTTCTTTGTCTTTAACTCTTCAACAATAGCCTTCTTTTTAGCAAGCTCAATCATAACTGGCATTTTATTATCCATCTCCCAGAAGAGATGTTTATGATTCTTTATTTTTTCCCGATATTCATTATTTCTTTCAAGTATCATCTCAAATTCTTCTTGCACTGTTTCTGCATCACACCTCAGCTTTAAATTTTCAGAATACTGGGCTCTGACTTGGGCCTCCAGATTTTCACAGTGATATTTTGTCACTTCTATGGCATCATCTTGCAGATGTATTTCCCTTTCTGTTGTCTTTTGTTCTAACAGAATAGAATTCATTTCCTTTTCTAGTTCCTGAAACTTTGCCTGTAAAACATTTCAGTGGTATCTTAGGAACATTTCTTTGGGAGGATATGAAGTGTCTAGTTAAACACTGTAATTAATTTATATTTATTCAACATAATCTTCTTTTTAACTTGCATAAAGTGGTTTGAATGGAAGATAATTAGAGTTCCATTTCTTAAAATCATCACCTTAGAGGCACAATGCAAGAGTACTTAGTTTTATCCCCTTAAATTGAGTCTAAAATATGAAATAAGGTATCCTTGAACTTACTTTAAATTCCTCATATTTGCTAGATACATAGAATGTGGTAGATCAAACCCAATCCTAGTGTTTTTTTAGAGCTGAAATCTGGTGAAGTCCTAATTGGACTAAAAATAACTAAAGACGCCAAAAATCACTTTCAAAACTACACAAATAAAGTGGTGTTCTAGGTGATGGAGCTTAACTAGCCTGTTCTACTGAGGTTTTTAATCCTGCCTTCATCACAGTAGTATTTGAAAGTTGGATTAATCCCCACTATTTTCAACCCCACAAGAAATATGTATCTAGCCCTAAAAAGGCCTCTTCATCTCACTGATGAGAAGCGAACAAAAGCAGAAGTAGTACTTCCACCCATCGTAAGAAATCACAGAATCATTAAGGTTGGAAAGACTTCTAAGATCATCGAGTCCAACCCTTAACCCAGCACAAGTCCACCACTAAACCTCCTCCCTGACCACACATCTAGGCATAAATCTAAGATGGAAGGGCTGAAGTGCTGCCTCAGAAATGTTTCTCTCTCTTAGACGACTAGCAAGGGAGTCTAGATGACTAATACAGGCTTAGCATCTGATTTGTAGGCCATGCAAGTTAGCTATGATGAATGCCACCCAAAGTTCCTGCCAACAGGAGTGCACTAAGTGAGATAATTAGCATTGTGATTTATGTCGCCTATTATCTTTTCCCTAATGGAAGCATTACGAGTGGTATGAAATCTCTTACTCAATGTCTTGAACAGATTAAGACATTATTAACTGTTAAGAACAAAAGTTCCTGCGTGACTTTTAATTTAGAAATCCTGGGCTACAGTTTTACAGGATTTTATCACTGCCAGCCACCTTTTACTGAGGATAGGAAAGCAAGAGATCTTAGTGGCAAAGCTGTTAAATTTTGGAAAGGAAATTATTGTTTTCCACGTCTTCTATGACATGTACACATGGGAATTGATGTAAAGATGAAAAAGCAGTTCTGCGTTTTGATTAAAAGTTCCTAATCATGTAATTTTGCTGTTCTAACATTAATGTTTGTATGAAATTTCCTAGGGTTTGGTCTTTTTTGAAAGAAAAAGAAATAGGTATAAAAGAGGAAACAACAAATGAACTAACTTAATTACCCAGGGCTCTAAAGTTCTGTGGGCTTTTTTGAAAACAGATGCCTTTGTTTAAATTGCGTGGTGACAATAATTTTTGTTGCAGTGTTTACTATATTATGGGAAGAAAACTTCTTGCAGTGTTCTACTTAACAGTACTGAATAAAGGCAGTATTTAATGACTATTTAGGATATCTGCTTCAAACACACATTTAAAAAAAAAGGCATTTTGTGTCAAAAAGAGTATACAGTCTGGTGAAATTCTGCCAAAAAGAAAAAAAACAAAATGGTTTTAAAATCCTTCCTTGCCTGCCCTCCCCCTCTCCCCCACCACATATCTTAGGAAATCACTATAAAAAATAATTTTAAAAGACCTAACTTTGCATTTAGTTGTTGTGGATTTGCTTTGTGTGTTCAGCTCAGTATTTGTTGGGGATTTTTTTTTTCCAAGTAAAAACCAAAAGTTTCACCTGCTCTAATGAAGTCTTGGCTCTATTGTGGCCTTACAAAGAACAGCACACATCCAGAGTTTTGACTAAGCCTAAATGTATCTGAGTATCTGCCTTACAGTTGCACTTGCCCATAAAAAAATTTTACTATCAGCTTCTCTTTTTCATAGGAACACTTCTTCACCTAACTTCTTTCATCTAAAGAAAAAAATTATTAAACTACTCTAAACAAGGCTTATTACCTGCAATTGGAAAAGAACTGTTTTGCTTTTTTCTATCTCTGATGCCTGCAAATGCTGCCGCTCTGCAACTTCTTTTACAACTTCAACCAGTGATAGAGAATTATGCTTGGCCATTTTAGGCAAAAGTGAAGAACTAGAGGGGAGAGAAAAAAAAAAGGGAATTGTCTTATCTTCATTTTAATTTAATTCCTGTTGATGAAACAATACTAAGGGGTTTCTCGTGGGATCGCCGATCAATACGTTATTTCATTTGGCTCATTTTTACTTAGGAAGAACAGGTTACTAATGGGTAGACGTTCAAAGCTAATCACTGAGAATTAGAACGCTTGCTTGCAGAATTTTATAAAATAAACCACTGCAGTGTTCATCTGCAGCACAGATCCTCGGTTTGTGACCGCAGTCGGAGGCCTCACCGCACCTGCTGCACCGACAGGGCCGCCGCTCCTCAGGGCGCAGCCATGGCCGCGCCTCCCCCGCGCGGGGCTCAGGGGACGTCGGAGAACGGCGGTCAGGGCACAGGGGCCGTGAGAGGTGCTGATCCCGGCAGGAGCCCGAGGAAAACCGGCGGAAACAACCGGTCGCGTTCAGAAATGGGTGGCTGCTTCACCACCCGATAGCGGTTTCACCACCCCGTGGCCGAGGGCTCTACTCAGCTTCCTTCCGCCTCTAAATTCCCCGGGTTACCTAATTCACTGTGTTAAACTGCATTTGCTGCCACAGTTTGTTATGCAGAGAAAACAGGTTTTGCTGAGCACCACTGGGTTACGAGGGAGAAGAGACGTGGCCCAGTTTCGTGTCCTGTGCTGTAGGCACGGACTTGCCTTGTGCCTACTCGTATGCTTTTGAACTCCAGGTTGAGGGATTTTAACCCTAAATTGCACTATTTTTATAGTTTAATTTTAGAATTTATTTTATAAGTTTTATATTTATAACATATAACAACTGAAATATATACATATATTAAACAACTTACACAATATACATATACTAAACAACTTAAATCTATAAATGTAAAAAATATACATTTTTATAACAACTATTTTATAATTTAACTGCTTATGTCTTCCTATGATCTGTTTATTTAATCTCTTTTTTTTTTGCAACGGCATAAGCTGAATATAATACTTGAGCCAGAGTTGTCAATTTGTCACTTTTTAATATTGTTTTGTACCCCTGAGTATTTTCTGAGCTTTTCCTTCTCAGCATTCTGCACCAAAAATTACCCCGGTAATTAGTTTTTCTTCCTTAGTCTCACTGAAGGAAAGAAAATGATCGTGTTGGTCTCTCTCCACCAAGCTCTCCTGTTAATTTTTAATGACCTAGTTCAGCCACAGTGGGGTGGAATGCTTCAGAGATGACCGACTTCTGCAAACTTCATGAAGGGAGATGTCTGGATGGGGAAGGACAAGATAACCCCATCAGTTCTCTTCAGGAGTGAGAAACAGGAGAATTCGGCTCTCATCCCTCTCCCCAGCACAAGTTGGAAAGAAAAGCAGGAGGGGAAATGACAGGGCACTCCCCAGGTGTGTTTTGGACCTGGCAGTAATGTACGTTTACTGCAGGTGCAGGGAAGGGAGGAACAGGAGACAGCCATTAATAGAAAATCAGATTTTATTAATTCCTCTGTTCCTGAATAAATTACTTTCCTTTTTTTTCTTGTCCTTTTCTTCAGTTGTCATATACTTAACTGTCATGACTATGATTTTAACACAGCTGACAAAACATATTTATTACCATTTGATTTTTGTACAAAGCTTGATATAAATCCTTCATTTCCCCACTTGCCTTTTAACCTTCTCATTGTCCTGTCAAAGGATTAAGACTTTCTCACTACATTGTGCAAAATTTCTGACTGCTTCAACAAGAAATTGCCATTGTCATTTGGGGCCTGTGGCCCCTAAGGCTAACCTCTCATAACCTCTCCCTCTGCATCCGGAATATACTTTTCCTCGACTGACTGACAAATTCTTCACTGGAACGTGCAGCTACAGCTCAGAAAAGGAAACTCCTTCAGTCTGCACAAGCTTTCCTTGAACTACTTTGTGTTCTTGTTCTGCTTTGCTCCACCATACGTTTCTGAGTGAGTTTGAGGTTGTGCGAAGCTGGTGTATTAGCAGGTGTGATTGCAGCAGGGAGCTGCATGCCAGGGTTAACGCTGCTTCCGGGTTCAGCGCTACCTAGATGCTTGTTAATCATGTTGGTGCCTTGTGGTACAGTTCGTTCTTTCCGGTGGACTCAGCAACAAAGCAGGGTCCCATCAAAAAGAAGAAATACAGGTTCCCAGAGCTATCTTACATAGAATAGGAATTTCCATCTTGTACAAATCAGTTCCAAGACTGAAAGAAGTGAGATATATAAAGCTGGAAATGTGTGTGTATTATATCAGTTGATACCTTTCAAGAGTTTAAAAGGATTGTCTACTTGTGTAAGTAAATTCCTGTTAAACTTTGTTTACAGAAATTGCATGTACTTTAATATTTTCATTGTATGTGGTTATCTCTGTTTCTTAAACCTTGCCTAAATACACCTAATTAGGAGAGGCAATTTGTTTTATTGTAATCCAATTTAGGAGGTTTAAATCTATTTTTTCCCCTGGTTTTGTTTTTTTGTTTGTTTGTTTGTGGGTTTTGTTGTTTATTTGGGGTTTTGTTTTTGGTTTTGATTTTTTCTGTTGTTGAAATTTTTTACAAATGTGCTCTTATCCCTGTTCATTTGGGCAGCTTTAATGACCTGTTTTCTTTCTCAGGGCATCTCCCTCTTTCAGATGTTAAATATCTCTTGCCTTTTTAATTTTCCAAAAATGATATCATTCCTCTGAGTTTCTGTACAAATACAAGGTGACCAGCAGGAAATTGTCAGCAATCTTGTCTTGACCAACAGGGAACTTCTATAATTGGACTGCTGGTTTGTTTTTTTTTAAATTGGTTTTTGCATCTTTTTTCTACCCTGGACTGTCTTTTCTCTGCAGCTTGGTTTTACTTCCTTTGTTGTTGCTTTTCTACATTCATTTTGCCCTTCTACTTTTCACTCTTGTTACCCTCTTTACCTCTCTTCTTGTTATTGATAATTTTCTTTGATTTTCTTGATATCTGTGCAAGAGAATCTCTTTACCCTCAAAACGCTTGCACTGACAGTTTCAAGGAGTGATCAAAAATAGCTAATGAGTGGCCTTAGCTTCAAGTTTGTGGAATTATTTGTCTTGAATTGGGTACCAATATGATCGACTCCTTAATAAATAGGTTTTTTGATGTGGTAAAGTGCAGAGAGGCTTTCCATGGAACAATGGGACTGTAGAGCATGTTACTTCAAACCTGGATAACTGTGAATGCATTTCCCATGAGCTAAAACATTGCTGTACTTGGCAAACCTGTATTTTGAGAAGGGTTTTTTTTGGGGGGGGGAGGCTTAGAAAGGAGTCAGTTTTGCTATAATTGTAAGCAAGTTTATTTCTGACGCCACTGACCTCACTAGGACTCTGTGATGCAAAACTGGAAGGATGAGTGAGCCCCATTTTTCCTATGTGTACATCTCTGGACTTTTTGCAGTACACACACAACTTAACAATGTAGGCAATTACCTCTCCCTCAGCAAACACTTTCCTTCCACCCTTTCTCTGCTGGTATTTTTCTGAGCAAGTACAAGAACAGCAATGAACTCTACTTACCTTCCACTGTTGATATATCTGAAGAGGAGCAATAATCTGTTTTTCATGTACAGCCCTCTGTTGTACTGTCTTTCCTATATAAAGCTATTAGCAATACCTAGATTGTGATCATGTCATACTTTGACAGGCCTCCCACAGAGTGTGTCAGGGTAGGAAAGGAAAAACTCTGATTTTCCAAGTCATGGTCTTAGACAGGAGCCTGTTTTGGCACTGTTTTCTTAGCAAGCTGTTTTCTCTAAAATCCATTATCAGCTGTGTGTAAATAATACTCTGAGCAAAATCAAGAGTCATAAATTCCCTGGCAGATTCTTTTATTTGCTGTCACATTTTGATTCTTTCAGTCTACCTGTTTTGATAGTCACTAGTTAATCTTTGTAAGTGTTCAATTCGCAGAAAGGAAAACATCATTTTCAGTCAGGATTATTTTTCTTCCAGTCTGGGGAAAAGAACAATGAAGAAAATACAGAATGTTTTCTGTAAAACCTTCTTTGAATAAACTGTCCATTAAAAACAGAAAGGTCTTTGACCTTTCATTTGAGTGCAGAAAGTCTGGGAATCCATTCTAAAGCATAAAATGCCAAGGAGTACCCCAAGTCTGCCATAATGGTAGGCCTCAAGTACACACAGAAGTAATATTTTTGCAGAATAATGAAGTGTTGTAAAGCTAGAGCATGCATGTAGTTACAGGAGAACGAGGACTTGGGGCAGAAAAATAGTGCCGGGCATTATCTGATGCAGTTAGCTCTGGTAGCAGAGCATTGATCATAGAATCATAGAATGTTAAGGGTTGGAAGGGACCTTAAAGATCACCTAGTCCCAATCCCCTTGCCTTAGGCTGGGATACCTCCTGCTAGACCAGGTTGCTCAAAGCCCCATCCAACCTTGCCTTGAACACTGCCAGAGTTGGGGCATCCACAACCTCCCTGGGCAACCTGTTCTGGTATCTCACCACCCTTACAATAAAGAATTGCTTCCTAATATCTAGCTTAAATTTCCCCTCTTTCAGTTTGTGCCCATTATTCCTTGTACTCCTAATGGTTACTCCTGTACCCGCTACTTCTTGATTTCAAAGACTCATAAGACTTCTCAGTTTCTTTGTTTCTGCAAAGATATGAATTTTCCTACAAATAAATTAATATTCATGCACAATTTGTTGCTGTAAAAACAATTACAGTGTTAAAGAATACTCTAAATTATTATGGGGTCTTAGAACTGATGACAAAGCTATGTATATTTCTCCCAGATCAAGCATGGTGCTTAGTCATGAAGTCTAAATAGATGTCTTTGAGGTTCCCAAAGCAGAGGGTTCTAGCCTTTTGTTCCAGGCCTCAGGAGGCTTGCCCTTGAAACTGAAAGATTATCAGAGAGAGAGAAAAGAAAATAAGACACCTCTGGGAGAATATGAAAAATAGGCTCTCATAGCAACAGAGAGAAGAAGTGGTGGATGGACAAGTTTCCACACGTAGGCCTAGCTGGGCTTGGATCAACAAAGTTCAGAAAGGGGAAAAAACAAACCACCAAACCTGGAATTACACCATGGGCCACAAGAGAAAACAGGAACCATAGGATGATTTGGGATAAGCTTAACACATCTTGATTTCAGAGCAAAGAGTGCAGCTAGCAGTGTTATAAAACTGAGGCAGGAAGTTGTGCACAGTATTTAATTATTTTAATTTAGTTCTAAGTGCTTCTTGTGTTACTAGGTGAAATTTCAGTAACCTGTGCGGAGTTCCTGTACATGCTGAAAAGAAGAACTATACCAATCACGTGCCCCTTGACACAGAAGTTAGAAATTAGCAAGTCAATACTTTTGGTAATGCGAAAGGGAGACGTACAAAAGGTCTTGTGGGAAAAAATGTCATTGCACTCACAGCCCAGCACTCTGCTGCCAGGAGGGGTAGCAGACAGGATCTCCACTTCAGCTATGTGTTAAACAGCTCCAAAAAAATTGTTACAGAAACTCCTCCAGTCCCAGCAAGCTAAGGGACCTCTGTATTTGCTTGCCCTCTGGAAGCTGGAGGAGGGCCCATCAACTAGATGTCAATTAGGGTCCATTAGGCTAATGTGGGTTAATTGATTCAATAGATCTAATCTTATGTACCAACCTTTCATCATCCCTGACCTGGGAAAAACCTGAGGTAGGTGGGGTGGTAAGGAAATACCTAGATGCTTAAATAAATACATAATAATTCCTATTTCTGCTAGTTTTCTTTTGCTGCAATTTCTTTGGATGCAGCTAGGAAATCCTCAGTTAGTAATTACCTGCTATGTACCTTCTCTACCCAGTATCACTGAATTCATTGCCTTAATACCATTATCCTGTGTTTAGACTAACAGTTCTTTCATGTCTTTTTGTTTGTTTTTCATGGTTTGTTACTACTTGACAGTTGTAGAAATTAAATATCCTGGAATATGGTGGAAGCAGTGCTAATAGATCTGTTCAGCATCCCAGCCAACTTGCAGAACAACATCCAAGGATTACTATGCAACACACTGGAAACTATTGAGAAATGCTCTTCCATCCATGCTCCATTTGTTTATGTCATATGTTGCCAGAGGCAGTGGAGTGACAGGAAAGGTGAACAAGAGTTCTTGCTTCCAGCTCTGGGAGGTTTTCAGAGTCTGAAGAGAAGACTGGAGGTGGTACGTGCTCTGACTACAGCTGCTGCTTTGTACACCATCAAACAAAGACTGGATGAAAAAGACCTAAGCATCATTAAAGTTATTCTCCCTACCTTAAGAAAAGACTTAATGAAAGCATATATAGACCATCTCTTTACAGCCGTCTACCAGTTTGAATATGAGGATTTACAGGTGGTATCTGGCTCTGAAAACCTACAGATATCTGAACGTCAGGGTGAAGGGCAAACACTTCCTTCACAGGACATGGCACTCATCCAAAGTGAGATTCAGATGCACTTGGAAAGCCTGCCAAGCCTGAAAGGGGAGCTCACCATCCTCAGATCCTCCCTGATTCCAGGTAAAGAGAGCTTCAGCTAGTAGTTTTACAGAGACTGTTACCAAGCATACTTCTTCAAGGGAATTGCAAAACGGGTAAAATTTGGAAATGTCTTCAGGCAACAAATAACTCTATATCATGTTGTAATAGTGTATCATGACTATAAGAGGGAGAAGTGTCAGTAGAAATACAGCAAAAGACTGGCAAGTCTATTCCAGGCCTGGGGCACAATCAGAGGAAAGACCGTCCCGGGTTTAGTGAGGGCATTACTGCGGACAAAAAAATCTCCTCCCCTCTGTGTGTGAATTACACATTTGGAGAGTTACCATCATCATCTGGAAAGGCAGGGAAAGAGTTTCTTCTGGTCCCTGACATGCCTGATGTCTCAGTGTCCCTGCCATGGCATGATTCTGAGCAAGAAGAAAATTAGAATCCTTAAATTTAAATACCACAGCTAAATACAAGGTAAAGCAATACTCAACTTGATTGGCTGATTCCAGATCTCTTCAGTATAAAACTATGTAATAGCTGACCTGATCTTGTGTTGAAAGCAATTATTTGTTGTCTTTTTTTGCCTTACCAGATGGTACCTTCTTGCATGGGTTCACCACAAGGACTGGTGGGATCTCATATATACCAACTCTAAGCTCCTGCAATCTCTTCAGCAGTTCCAAGCGGAGGGACCCAAACGTTGTTGTTAAAGAAAATCTCCGTCGGCTAGCTAATGCTGCAGGATTTAACCCAGAGGCTTTTCACAGAGTCAAGGTATCCTATAAAACAGTGGATTTAAGTAAATGAGTCAGATCTTCCTTCGTGTGTCACTGGCTAAAACTGTAGGCATTATTCTTACCTTTGTCAGCAAGAACTTGTGAGAAGCAGCTGGCAGCTTATCTGAGAGAATAGCCATTCAAACTAGCAGCCATTTGGCACAATATGGAGAAGCAACGCTGATTCTTCCAAGTCTGTTCAAACATTTAACTTACCACAGAGTAGAATAATCAGATAAGTGATCAGAGCAGTTCCTCCTAAAAGAAAAATACACCATCACTTCTGTAGTGGTTTTCTACTGGTACATCTGCATGGCATTTGAACAAGGGAGTGCCTGATTTCCATGCATAATCAGTTGGTGCAGAAGAGTGTTTCTTGCCAAAGAAAAAACCTTGTACTAGACAGAACTGGGTTGTTTTGCTGCCATATCACTGTCCATGTTCTGGTTTTGTTTTGACAGGTTGATCACGCTAATGCAGTGTGTATTATGGGAAAGACAGAGCCTGACAGCTATGATGGCATAGTTACAAATCAGAAAGGTGTTACGCTAGCAGCTCCAGGTGCTGATTGCATACCCGTGCTATTTGCTGATCCCGTCAGAAAAGCCTGTGGTGCTGCTCATTCTGGTAGGAATTGCACTCCCTGTGGAATGCAAAGATTTCCCAGGACTCACATTGAGATACAAGAACTCAAAGCTGGACTTTCTTCTACCTATTCCAAACAATGCCCAAGTGCAAACTTGGCTTCTGTCTATTCCAAAAAATGTCGCTATCTTGAACCTCTTTTTTTTTTCCTAAAGTAACATTAAACCACTTTCACCATTCTATAAAAATACATTTCTGATGTATTTCTGTTGTCATATTCTCATTTAAATGTTTCAAGCACAAGGGAGCTGTAAGGTATGCTCTAATTGCCCAAACCAGGACACTGGGAAAAAAGAATTCTGGAATTCTAGACTAAATGCTTCTCTTTAGTTTCCATCTCCACCAAATTATGTCAGCAAACTGGTAGCTGTTAATGTGTACATTTTGGGGTTTTTTAAAAAAGATAATTTATTATTAGATATTTTTTTTTAATTTTAGGTGTAAATATATTTCCTAATTTATACCTTTAATAATAGCATATATTTCTAGAATATACTAGAAAATTAAAGAGACAATTTATACAAATTTTTTTTCAACCTCTCATTTCTCACAGGATGGAAAGGCACATTGTCAGGAGTGTCTATGGCCACAGTAAATGCTATGGTATCTGAATATGGCTGTAACGTGAAAGATATCCTTGTGGTGCTGGGCCCATCTGTAGGACCTTGCTGCTATAAACTTCCTCATGAATCAGCAAAAGAATTTCACAGAATTGATCCAAAGTGTGTGAGACTATTTGACTCTGCAAATCCTTATATTGATATTAGAAGAGCAACACGGTAAGCCTCGTGAGTGAATAAAAGACTAATTTCACATTAGTTATCAATAATTACTTTGATATTCTGTTATTCACCACTAATATGGTGAGGGTCCTCACCATCTTAAAGTACTCTCTAGTACTTTGCAGATCAACAAATGATACTTTTAAAGGAATGGTATCTGCTCAAATTTTGCTGTTTCAACTATTATTTTATTGTTATACTGATGGCTTATGGATTATAGACAAAAGTTCAATTTTAATGTGGCTTTACTGGTTGCAGGAGAGCGATTAATTTAGTCTAATTCTGGAAGAAAATAAAAAGAAAAGCAAATGAAAGTCCCAATCACAATATTGGCACAGTTTGTTCAGCTGGTACTTGAGGTCCTGCCTTAAAGATAGTGCCTTACGGAATGTGAGGATGTACAAAAAAATATTATTTTCTGTTTCTCTTTCTTTTTTTAAGGATTCTTCTTGAGAGAGGTGGGGTTCTTCCTGAGAACATCCAAGATGATTCTGTCGCAGACCAGAACCAAAATATCACTTTCTGTACTGCCTGCCACCCTGATAAATTTTACTCTCACTTTCGTGATGGCACTAACTTTGGAACACAGATTGGCTTCATATCAATCAAAGACTGAGACAGTATCTCTTACTCTGGAATAGTATTAAGACAATAAGTCTGCTGCATTGTCTGGCATCCTGCTCTCCTTGTAGAAGTTCTTCCTTTCACAGCCTTGCAATAGGGAATTCATGGGTCTTGAGATTCCCCTTCCCTCCCCTTCCCTCCCCTCCCCTCCCCTTCCCTGGCAAAAATAAATATCTAGGGTGTGGGACAACAATTCCTGTGTGAGACAGGGTGCAAAGGAGAGAAGGACAAGCCACACAACTGCCAAAACCCTTCTGCAAGACCAGATGCAAGCTCCATGTTTATGGATCCTCCTTGACCATTTTCCAGAAACCACTATTTTAAGGTGGTAAAAGCACAAAAAACTCCAGTGTTCACTAACTTCTGGGTGATACTGTTGAATGAAGTTAAGTATGACCTGAGTAATAGAGGAAGAGAAGCCTGTATGGCATGTTAGCTGTTTGAGAGCACCCAACTTCAGTAGTTTCAGCTGAAGCATTACGGAATTTTGTGCATGGGATTGATTTTCTACTTTGAATTACTTTAAAGAAGAGCTCCAAAACACTTAAAGGACTTTTACCATGCAGAATAACTTGAAAGTGAAAATCAAGCAAACTCCTTTGGGGCAGACACTGAAAATATATGAACATTCACCATTCTGTACTTTTTGATTGTAATAAAAATAGGGCTAAGACTCTTAATATAGGACATGTATGTTCATATTTCCTTAGGATTCTTTTCTTTAAACATGAGTGCTTTGATAATATCCATTGACACAGTCTCAACAATGCAGGTTATTAAATAAATATCTAAAAAGTTGAGTGAATTTAGCCTCAGTTAATTTTACTGACCAGTAGTTGGACTTCTGTGTCTTACTAAGCAAATTGTAAGTGTGCACTGTTTTCTTTTGGCCATAAAAAAATGGCCTCTAGATTTTACAATAGACATGATGTTTTCTGTCACACAGACAGTGAGAGATTGGTAACAGTAGAACTATGCTGACTGTAGACGCGCCAAGCGCAAGCCTTGGGCCAGCCGTGCCCATGACGTACTTTCTATTTTAAATTCAGCGACCTTTCCCAGGTCTGACTGTTCTGTCCACTAGAGGTCAGTGCTCACTCGCGCTGTGCTTCTATCCCTGGAGGCACGGATAGATTGGGGTCCAAACCATGCAGTTTGCAAAGCACTGCATGGCATACGCTGCTACTTCTGCCTCTATAATAATCTGCCAAGTTATTCTAGTATCCGTGCTTGAAGAGTAATCTATTTTTCATTTTGTTCGGTTGTGATTCGAAGCTGACCAAATTAGAACTTTCCTTGTCCACTGGAAGAACAGACTTTTAAAAAGAACTTTCTTTTACCTGTGAATGGTATTTCTCAGAGAAGAGCCTGATTCTGGGTATATTGTCCTCTGACTGTAAACATCTACCAAAAAATATTCTTCTCCCAACTATCCTACTTATTCTTTAGAAATATAATTCCTCTTCTGCTGTAGCACTGCAGTCCTTGACAATAAAAATCCTTACATTTTCAGTTACCTTTTAGAAACCTCACCTCACCATTGATTTCACCATTCTTGTTTTCTTTTGTAACTTCACCATGGTGATATTCACAGGCAGCTTCAAACTGGAGATTCAGGATCCAGCCAGGGCAACAGTCACACTGCTCAACTTAATGCTGTCAAGCACATTACTGCACACCAGCTAATGGTGTATATGGTATGCATATGTATTATGTGCATGTGTATTATTGACTTGTTCTAAATATAGGATAGTGTAATTATATGGACACTGACAGGCTTATGTTGCTGTACTATGTAAAAAAACAACCCAACAAGCTACCTCCACCTTTTAGTTCCGTTCCTTTGCCCTGGTATTGAAGGGTGAACCTCTATCGATATTGAGTGACATAGCACTGGGGTGAGTAAGGTATCTTTCCTTTGTCTGTGGGAGCAGTAGCACTGTGTATTCTTCAGTTCCTGCACGTGAAGCTCAGCCAAAGCTTGTCTGTCAGTACTCTTCACTTAACCTTCTTCCCTTGTGGATTAAGAGCATGCCATCAAAATCAGCTGAGTTACTTGGTTTTGCAATATACTTGACAGCTGAAGTATCATAGGTTCCCATGTGCTTGCTGTTATCTCATCTCACCTCTAAGATGGTTTTAAACTAATGCATTTATCTTTGCAATAGGGAGAAAGACTTTGCAGCCATGCTACTTACCAGAGTTCAAATCCTCTCAACAGTATATTAAGTCAAGTAACATGATACTGATAGTAAGCCCTGGCTTGTTTGTACCTGCTCAAGAATTATTGCACAGACTTGTAAATGCACCATTTACAGGTCATGGTAGGACTGTGCATGCTGGAGGAATATCAGAATAAGCAGAAATACCAAAGGCTCCACCTTCTAGGAGACAAATTGTTACTGCAATTGTTCTTTTTTTTTTCTTTTACATGTATTACCTAAATTGTAAATCTGTCAAGACAGGAAACAGCCTTTTGCACCTGAATTACTAAGGTAGAGAACTCCACGACCAATAAGAAGATATTTATAAAGTTGAGTCCCCAGTCAGGCTAGGCTCTGAATTATAGTTTCTTTCAAAAGTCCATGCTACAAAGGCATTTTAATTCTGGTATTAAAAAAAAATAGTTTAGAGGAAGGGCATGATAAAGAGGAGACTAGGCTGTTTCACATCTCTACTTATTTACTTTTCATTCCTGTTGCTCACTAAAGGAGGCAAGCACATCAGCCCTGATTCACCACCTCTAGGGAAAGTCTTAAAATTCTTCATAAATTGTTCAGCTGTACCTAACTAATGATCAGATCCCATTTATTAACCTTGCCATTGAATTTATAAGGTGCATTTGCCCTACTGTTGTTATTAAATAACATTATTAATTATGATAGTGGTATGCCCCGAAGCAAGCACAAGACATGATCACATTGCATATTGTCTTCAATAACTATTACTGTGCAATTAATGTTTGTTACTATTGTAGATTCTGAATATGGGCCTCTTTATTCACATTATCTACTTAAATGGAGTCTACTAAAACATGTTCAAGAAAGGCTTTATTCACTATTCCAGTAGAACAGGGCAGCTCCAACACAGACTTTTAGTTCCAGTGCCTGGGGAAGCAGTATGAAACTTCAGAGGCATAGATCAAAGCCTGAGATAATTAGTGAAATGTTTATCCAAAGCGTGGCATTTATTGCCACAGTTATGGCAAAGGTGAAAGCTATTAAGAAAGTTAGATGAAAAATGTTTTTAATAAATTTGTAGAAGTTAGTTCCATCAATGACTGCTAGTCTCTTTCCACTGACAACCTGAGGAGACAGGATGGGGGAAAGGCAGTTCTGCATTTGACACCTGTGTTTGCTGTTGGCTGCAAACTCGGAAGCCATGGGCCTGGACGTTCAGCAAAGCATTTGGGCACCTCTTGACTCACAGAAATTATATAATCCCTCCTAAATTACAAGCATTCAGTTATAGGAAGGTGCCTCCTTTCCCCAGCAGTAATATGGTTTGTGATCATCTTTGCCTCCAATCTTATTTTCCTCATGTTTGCTTATCTCCTGTGCATTGCTGTCTTTCTGTCCAGCGCCACTCACAATCACCCTGTAAGGACTGTGAATCTGGTCATGAAGTGTTGGAAGACACAGGTGCCATTCTGTACAAAGCAGCACCAGAATTGCTTTCTTTTGTATGCCTGTGTCTTCTTTTCTTTTAGCAGCAGTGTGAAGCTTCCTGTTCACAGCACAGGATCTTTATCAGTATCCTCCATTCCATTCCCATTTTACAGGTTTTGGTAAGTGCTTCCAACTTCTGGCCTACACGTCAAAGAAGTCAGTATTCCTAGGTCCCCTCACTGCTGTCCTCATTCCGCTCCATGCTCAATTTGCTGCTGGGTGATGCAAAAAGGGAGTTGAGCTGCACTCATTTGTCCAAAGGCTCAAAGGGGCTGCGTGGGTGCACTGGCCTTGATGTCACATGTGAAGCTTTTGTTCTCTGAGTACGAAAGCCCTTCCTGAACTCCAGCCTCTTGTGCAACAATATTAACAGGACAGTACGCTGACAGGAGCAGTAAATCCTATATGTGACAGAGGAAATAATGTATTGACCTGCTGAGAGATTTACATACCTCCACAGCAAGCTCTGCCTGTAAGACTGGCTTGTTCTACTTTCCATTTCCAGCAGATACTATCCAGTGTTTACAGATGAATGATTCGGATAGATATGTATGTGGATTTAAGAACTGTCCTAATCAAGTATATTCTTATTTCCAGGATGTTACTTGTCATTACCCAGTGTGACACCTTTGTATAAGACACAGAGATTTTGCTGCTGTGCTTGCTTTAAATATACAGTGCCTGTGGCTACGCTGCTAAAAAGCATGATTAGGTATTTCCCAAAGGCACTCAGAGAAATAGGGAGCTAGCTTTTTAAAGTGATCCCTCTGATCTTTCATTAGTAAGCGTTTAATTTACAGTAGCATCTCACATTACAAATACTTGGCTGGCTGGCTTTGTCTTCAAGCTCTCAGGTGTCAGAGGAGGCCCACATAAGAATTTTGGGAACATGGTCCCCAAAGAACAGCAGGGCTGAATTCTCTCTCTTATCCTTCCATGAATGCAGCATCATGTCTCCAGGGCAACCTGAATTCTGACAATCATGGAAGCAAGGCCATGGCATGGATTTCCATTTAATTCCTGCGACTGAAAAGAGATCTAAGATGCAAATCAATATCTGACTAAACTATGAGAGTTTGCTTCACAATTAATTTTATCTTTGAGTTCATTTCCTCTCTTTTTGTGCAAATGTAGTTCACAGCTTCTAACTACTGTGTTTGTTTTTCTAATGTTGCCTCTTCTACATGTAGCAAAGCCTTAATATCTGAAATAAATAGGTTGCACCATAAAAATAAGGGGTGTACCTACCATAAAACTGAACAAGCATTTTATAAGGGAGCTTGAAAGCAATGTTTGTATTTCAAGATGTATAATTTCATTTTTTCTCATGTGGTGCAATATTTTTAGGTAGCGAATCATATTTCTGGTCAGATCTTTCATTGCAAAGTGATTTTACCAATGACAACTGTAGAAAGCCCTGCCTATCTGCAATAAATAGTTCAGCATTTCTCTTTGAGGCACTGA